ACCTCCGTCGTCACTGAATGCTTCTTTCGGCTTCGTCACATTCCTACTCGCTACCCCGAGCTACTGCTGATACTCCAACTCCTCCAGGCCATGCAGGCTGGCAGCCTGCATGGCAGCCTGCATTGCAGGAATTCACATGCGGGCAGTCGTTGTTGGTAGGTTTCTTGCTTGAGGACGATGGCGGACGGGGAGCAGCAGCAGCCGTCGGGCTCCCTCGCCATGGCAGCTGCTGCTACCGTCGGCACCACGGGCAATGGCAATGGCAACTGCGGATACGGTAAGCCTGACATCAGCTGCCGCCGGATGGATGCATGGATGTCCTCTCTTCCGCGTGTTGTCTGTCGTTGCTGCAGTGTCTGCTGGTGAGGGTCGTGTGTACGGGCAGCGGGAGTGGAAGTTCATCACCCCGTGGCTCAAGGGTGCTGGACACACACGGCACACCCACCATCCACAGCGAGCCGTGTTTGTTTGCAATGGTCCTTGGCTGTGTATGGTCTGTGTCTGCAGTGGGTGACAAGGTGAGTGTGCTAAACGCCAATCCGCTGTACGTGGAGGCCGAGTGCGTCGAGGGCGACCGGAAGGGCGTCACCGGCAAGTTCATGCCCAAGTGTGTCAACTTCGACAACACATTCGTCGGTACGTCACAGACAGGCAAAGCTCAGAGAGGGGGAGGGAGGGAGGGAGGGAACTATGGAAGTGTGGTGTGGTGTGGTGTGTTGTTGGGCCTGTCAGGTGAGATCGTGATGCCTAGTGGTGGTGGTGACGCTAGTGCCGCTGCTCGTGCCGGTACGAACATCAAGACACACACACCTATCAGGCCTCCTCCATCTCCTCCCGGTTGCAGCGGCAGCTGCTGCAGCCCCTCCCCCTCCCCCCGTTCCCCTCCCCCAGGCGGGCGAGCAGGCCGCCGCGGCTGCTGCGGCGGTGCAGGTCGATGTCAAGGACGAGCCACCCCAAGACGAGCAAGGAAATGGCCAACAGCACGATGGCGCTGCCACTGCCGCCCACCACCAAGACCAGCAACAGCAGCAGCCAGACGGTGAGCTGGCCGAGGCCGAGCAGCATGACGGCCAAGAAGCGCCCCAGGAGCCTCCACTACCACCGCCACCGCCAGAAGCTGACAATGAGCATGGGATGGAGGATGAGCAGAGGGGCGATGACCAAGCTGGGGACGAGGAGGCGGAGGATGAGCACATGGACGCCATCGAGAACCAGCAGTTGGCCGACCGTGTCGCTGCGAGAGGAGGAGGTGGAGGGGGAAGGGGAGGGAGGGGCAAGCGAGGGCCAGGTCGGCCCCGCCTTCACCTTCCGGGCGGCATGCAGAGGGGCGCTGGGGTGGGCGGCAGCGGGAGAGGGGGCGGCCGCGGCAAAAAGCGCCAGATAGACGAGGGAGGAGGAGGGATAGCGAGAGATGGAGCAGAGGTCAGAAACACCCACACCACACACCACACACCACAACAACCATCGGTTCATGCGCCACAGCTCTATCCCTCTCTGCGTGTTTGTTTGGCTGGTGTGTCAGGTCAAGCGAGGTCGTCCCCGCGGCCGTCCGCGTGGCTCGCGCGCCGCCAGGGGGGACGTGGGGCGGGGCAGAGGTGGGGCGGCGTCAAGTGCCAGTGGAGGGATGCAGCACGATAGCGACAATGAGAAGGCTGACAACGATACCAAGCAAGAGGGCGAGGGGGGCGAATATGAGGTGGGTGGGTGGGTGAGGCGGGAGAAGCAAGCGGTGCATCAACCAACCAAGCGACGAATCGCTGAGTGTGTCATTTGTGTGGACAGGTGCGGGAGATCATTAGCCACGACCTGAAGTCTGACAAGACCTACTTCGAGGTCCTATGGGCAGGTGGGATTCAACGCGCCCACGCAGACCGATTCAGATACCGTTTGTGTGTTGTGTCGTGTAATGTGTTGTGCGGTGTGATGTGTGGTTTGGTGTGCAGATTCGTCCAGTACGTGGGAGCCCGAGGATGCGTTGGACAACTGCAGCGAGCTGCTCGAGGCGTACATGGACAAGGTGGGCGCCAAAAGGACGCAGAGCGGCAGAATCGTCTGGCCCACCAAGTCCACAAACAAGGCGTAGACACGACACACACGCAGAGCGGATGGCTGGATGGCGAGATCAGATGGGATGGATGGATGGATGGACAGGCAGACAGACAGACTGGCGTAGCTTGCGCAGCAAGCTCGAAGAGGGATGGATGGGATGGGGCGCTGCTGTGTTGGCGGACACAGACAAGGTACTTCAGTTCATGTGCACGTCGGATGTGCCGTGTGCAGGTTTCCGCGTGTGTGTGTCCGTGTGCATGGACATACGTCTCCCCGCATATATATGTGTGTGCATTCTTTGTGCAGCTGCAGCGCAGCGACTGCCGTTGAGTGAATGATTGCAATCAATGGTCCACCCCACGCACACACACAGCCACTTACTTTACTTACACAAAAGGGGACTGACTGACTGACAAAAGCGAGCGTCACGCTCACACAAAACACGGGCCATGGTGGGGAGCCAGGGAGCATTAGGGAGGGCACGTATCCACACACTCACACGGACACACAGCACTACTACTATCGTCAATGTGGGCCGGGCCGCGCACAGCCCACTGGCGGTATGTTGTTATGTACAGCGGCTTGGGAAGTCCTCTGCCTATTATGTCGCCGGCCTCACTCCCTGAACGTCGGCCGGACACCCGTCGCCATGATCCGAAGTCAAAAATGCTGCACACAGACACACACACACACACACAAAAACACACACACGCAGGCATCTTGATGCTCCTTCGTCGGTCGTCTGTCTCTCTCAGCTGCTCACATTGCTTCTGCCGTTGTATCCTCCAGTCGGCCGCGGTGATCTTCCCATCGGCTAAGAGCGTCGTCATGTCGAACAAGTCCTCAAACAAGGGCCCCATCGACTTCTGCGCGTCCCGACAGAGCGACAGGTAGTCCGGCAAAGGGTAGTACCCCGCCTCCACTCTACAGCTCGACGCCTCAGGCAATGCGCACACAAACGCCACTTTGAACTTGGCTGTGAGAGCACCGTCCATGAGCCCCTCCCACTCCACATATGCCACGGGGAGCAGCGAGTAGCCCACTTCGCGCGTCCGGAGGCCCTCTATGTCGGCCGCCTTGAGGGGATAGACTGCCCCAGAGACGATGGGCAGTGTGTGTGGTGTTGTGGAGACGGGAAGGGAGATGGGGGGAGCGGTGATGGGCTTCTGCAGAACATTTAGCATGGCCGTCGAGTAGGGGGAGCAGGGGAGGTCGTACGAGAAGGGGAATACCAGCTCCTCCTTTGTGGGCCTGCCCGCGAACGAACAGACAAGCAGACATCAATCAGATCGCGACTCGTTTCGCTCTCCCTCCCTGTGTCAGCATGTCTGTGTGTGTGGGTGTGTGGGAGGGGTTTGCTCTTCTCTGCTCACGGCAGTCCCAGCTGCTTGTTGGTGAGGTGTCTGCAGTGTTTGGAGTCATAGTTGAATATCCTCTGCGCCCCAAACGCAATCACCACCTCCCCCCTCTCCACAGTGTCCCGCGAGAAATGCCGTGAAGCCGATTCCTTCGACACAAGCGACCCATAGCCGAGCAGAGGCAGCGACTTGTCATCCCGCGAGGCCACATAGTCCTCTAGCCCACTCCAGGGGTAGGCGAAGGGCGGCGGGGCCTGCTTGATGGCGGCCTTCATCTCGGCTGAGTGTCTGTCGAGGTACGCGAGGATGAGCGTGGCTGCATCGGCCATGTCGCTGCTGCTGCTATTGCTATTGGAGGGAGGGGAACGTTGGAGGCCCACCTGCAGAGCCGAAGGCTGGTCTGCACAGACAGAACACACACAAACACACACACAAAGTGAGAGAGAGATGTATACGCCACCGAGCGTCAGCAGTGAGTGTGATGATATACCTGCAACTCGTGCCTTCGTCCATGCCGATGGCAAAACGATGATGACGAGGAGCCATGCGGCGGCCACCATGCTGAGCCCCATCATCAGCACGAGAGCCTGGGCTGCCCCGCCTCCCTTGCGAGAGCTCGAGGGCAGTATGTCACAGAGGGGGGAAGCCGTTGCGTTGGTATCTATCACTCAAACGAGGAACGTTGGAACCATTACCCATCCTCAAACATGTAAGAATAGGTGGGAGAGAGTCGGGGAGAATGGTGAAGAGAGGATCTGCCGGGCGGTCAGTCCCGGATAAAGGATTAAGT